GTCTATTACATTCCTGATGATGCCAACTGAAAGCTGGCGAAAGCTCGAATAAAGTATTTTCAAGACTGAAAGTCATGTTATTCATAGCAGTTCTATATTCGATTTACAAATACTTATTTCCAGCTGCTCTACCAACAAATTTGGTAATATTAATGGTGCTAGTAATACGGTAATCCCATCATTATTATCGTTCTCTGCTACTATTCTCACACAATCAAAAGTTTGAATTATTTCACACGCATACAAGGCAAAACTTCATTGCAAGCAAAATGTACATTATGTCCAGTTGATAAAGGTATTCTTCAAACAAAATTCTCCACAACCACAACTCTCAAACGACATCTGAAACAAATTCATGACATAGATATAACAAATTCGGCAATGATTAAGCCAAAACGAAAAATATCATTATTATCAACAAAAGGGAAAAGTCGACTTGATGAATTATTAATAACAGCAATCGTGAAAGATGTACTATCTTTCAATGATATTAGTAAACCTGGATTATTAAAATTTATAACCAAGAGCATTCCAGGTAAGCCACGAATTTGGTGTTGCACTGAATTTTTAAAACTTTAAAACCCGCACTTATTCATCCAGGTCAAGAGAATCTCCCTTAACCGATGTTTAGGTGAAAAGCTTCTTTTGAACGACTTCGCACCTATGCTTTTCAGCAAGGATTCTTTTCTTTGAATTTCAATCCACAGGGAGGGACACTTCTTTCTAAAAATATGAAGACAAAAGCAAGTTTTGGCACGTAGATGAAACAAAAAGTTTCTACCGTAAGCGGAACTATTTCACAATGTTAGAGACGATAGAGCTCTACGTATTTCTCTTGCTACATGGAGCTTGAGTGATTTCAAATAAAGGAAAAGGATGTAAGCCTTAATGTTAGTAAGCTATGTATTGACATAATCATTAATATCTTTTTTATTAAAAATAACGTACCGCAGAAAAGCTTTTACTTCATTCGTTGAAAGTGGAGCCTAGCAATCTTGCAAAAAAACTCACTTTTTCGATCTGGTTTTGAAGAAAGTTTCAAAAAGTAGCGTTTCTCTAAACAAAATTGTAGGATCTTCTAAACCCGAATAGCACAATACCTAAGAAAAAGTGATTCAGCAACTATCGCAGAATTTTTTGTTACGTGTTAACTCTTCGTGTTGTTGTTGGTTGTTGTTAACTCTTCGTGTTAACGGATTTTGAAAAAGGTTCAATCAACGCAGTAAAATCAGTTTCCAAGTGCACAAAGCAAAGGCTGTCACTTTCATTTAGGCCAATCGCTATACAGACAAATTCAAGATGCAGGACTGACCAAAACTTTACTCTTCTTATAAGACATATTTCAGCTTTGGCTTTTTTAAGTTCTTTAGAAATTCCTGATGCTTTTGACGAAGTCAAAGCTATATTACCATCTGATGCTGAACCAATTATTCAATGGTTTGAAAATAACTATGTACATGGAAGAGTAAAAAGAAGACTGAGAAACGGCAGAGTTCAAAGACACAATCCATTATATCCCCCAGAAATGTGGTCTGTCTTTGATAACATGAAATTTGCATTTCCAAGAACTGAAAACAAAGTCGAAGCCTGGCATCGACGTTGGGAAATATTAATTGGTCGAGCTCATGTTGGCATTTTCACTATGATTAAACAAATTCAAAAAGAACAAAATGAAGCTGAAATGGAAATTGAAAAATCGATGCGGGGAGAACCAGCTCCAAAGAAGCGCAAGGAAGACGAAAACAGAGAATCCCGAATTCAAAATGTTATTGCTGATCGCGTTAATAGATCAACTATTGATTTTCTTCGGGGCATTGACTTCAAATATTTGTCGGCCAAATGAGTTATCGGCGAAGTGTAGATGTCGGTCAAACAATTTGTCGGCGAAATGGTGTCGGCCAAGTGAACGCGGCCCGATTTCACAGCTTAGACACGACGCAGAACATATTATGCTTTATCGAGCACTTTCAAGCTCTTTCTACTCTTATTCTATAAGAGTATAACTCGTAAGGTGTGTGAGATCTCTTCATCTTCTTTGCTATTTCTCGATAAGACTTAGTTGATTTTCTTAAATTCTATGACTATACCATCTTTAGATAAAGTGAGCACCATATTTTTGGACGGATCCTTTCTCCTTTTTCATCAGAAAAAAAGAACCATTTTTTTTACATTCTATACATACGAGCGTCAAAAAGTTTAAAAATACTCTTCATTCATTATCATTTATATTACTATAAGAAAGTAATTAGGCATATAACAGTTTCGGTTAATCTATAACAGAAAAAATTCTTTTTATTTGCGCACATCAGAGGTGAGTGAGTACACACTTTTTCCAGTATGAGTACGAGTATTTAGTAGCGGGTATGAATATGAGTACGAGTACAAAACCACACACAATTTTACACACACTTTTACTCGAGTACAAGCTTTCTAAAAAAACAAGATTGTCATCGGAAAACTTTTCGTGTGATGATAAAATATCGATTACTCTCCGGAATTCCTTTTCTTTTTATTTAAACGTTTTTATCCGAGTACTCGAGTACTTTTTCGAATTAAAAAGAGTCACGAGTATGAGTATCTAAATATTTGTACGAGTAAATACTCGTACTCGCCCATCTCTGGCGCACATTCTTGAAAACGCGTTTGAAACAGTATAAGAGAAACGTCTGAAATGCATGTAGAGAAAAAAATGTTCAGGATAGTACGCTGAACTGTTTTTGGACTCAACACTTTTCGTCCAAGTTTAAGAAAAAAACGTTATTTTAAAAAAGTGAAATTTTTCATAACATAAAAATTGTTCAGAATAATACGCTGTAACCCAGTCACATTACAAAAATAATTTATCGCTACGTAGGATATATTAGATCAGGATTCGAGTATTTCCTGAATGTATTCGCTCCCCAACCGGACCCATCCCCCCTCTCGATGGACTCAAGTACAACTCGATGAGCTCTATAAAACGCACATATTTGGTTCTAAAATTTATTGAAGCAAAGCGTACAACCGAACCAAATATGTGAGCACTGATTCCGAATATGTAAGAATGTCGAGACACGCCGCTCTAAAAATATTCGGTCAAATTTTAAAATGTTTGCATCGAATTTCTTCCATTCAACAAGTGAAACATGTTGCAAATTGAAGCCTAAATTATTATTATGTTGTTGCTATGAATGAGATATCAGCTTTATCGCGATACTTTATCCAAATAAAGGGTTATAAATTCTCTAGCGAAATAGTAAGAGCTTTTTGAAATAGAAAATTTTTACGGAGAAGGTTATACAAAAGTCAATATTTAATGATGTCACAAAACATAAAATAACTGTACCAGAAACGAATAGAAAAGTAAAACCGTAATAAAACAAGAGAAAAAACCAAACGATCAACATTTGATATGATCTTATTCTTGTTTGTCAACGTTGAAATACATGGAATATATTTAAATCACAAGTGTCGTTACCTTGGCGTAAATGGACCAGAATATTAAGCACAACGAAGAAATACATCAAGTTCGCACTCGTTTCATTGACGCTGAGTATTCCGTGTTTCTCGATGTCGTTCAGGTGATGAGGTTTTTATTTGAGTGATTGTATACAGTTATTTACGATAAACAGAATCGATTGAGCAACATTGTTTGACGCATTTGATGGCATTAGGTAACAATCACAGTGAACGTAATTACAACGCCAATGATTAGGCGGTGTTCTTAAACGACGTACGATAAAAATGACGTGCTTTTTCGTTCTCAGTCGTAAAATTTTATTTGAACGATGTATATTCTAGTTTAGTGTAACCTACAGTTGTTGAGAAAAAAAGTAGAAAATGACGCTACATGAGCTACAGAAAGCATGGAATCCTCAGGGGTGGGCAACTCCAGCTCCGGAGTTGGAATTAACCCCAGAGCTGGGCGATTTTTAAATGGAGTTGGACTTTTTGGGAACAGAGTAGTCTTTTATCCATTCTTATTTTCAACTCCGTGTAATTGGTATTATTACACTTTGTTTTCTTCAAAAAAGAGTGACGCATACATAGGCATATAATCACATTTCATTCTTCTTGATATATGTGACTTCGTTTCTTTCTTAGATTCTATTTTGCCCATTCCTTCTTTTGTACATTGGCTGTACACTTCTTCATCAGTAAAGCAAACAACCGGAGTTGAAACGGAGTTGGAGTTGAAATTTTTGAGCGGAGCTGGAGTTGGATCGCAAATTTAAAAACGCAGTTGAGTTAGAGTTGAGTTGGAGTTGAACTTCGGCGGAGTTATCCAGTCCTGGAAGCGGTGGTTAAACCATTGTATCGATGTTAACTAACTCAGGCAAAATAGGTAGAACCTGTGTAATCGAACAGATAAGAGACACTTTCACAAGCGCCTGACGCATAGTGCACTGTATAAATTCAATAACTTCCTTATATATAATTGAACAGGGGTGTTTTTCAAACAAATCATACAGAGCAATGTGTTCAACGAACGTTCGACATAAGGTATCAAATGAATTCTTTTATTAAGCGTACCAGTACGAGGAGAATCATATCGCGAGGATTGCAAGAGAAAGTGCTTAATGATTTTCTTCTGTCCACATTCACAGTGTCTATCAGACATAAAAAATTTTGTGGAAAGATCATTGTTTCAAATAGAGAATGCGCAACGCAAGTTGTCCTTCTGTTTGAGTTTGTACAAAAAACCAACGTGCCAGACAGAATCAAATGCCTTCTGAAAATAGAGCAAGCCGGCATGAGTAAGGGTGGGGTGGGTGCAGAAGAGGGATTATTAGGGGGATAGTATTATAAGAAGGATATTTATCCTCTTGGGTGGAATGCTCGCAGATATCCGCAAGAGAGTCATCTAGATCATAGTATGCCTCTTTTCCCATGCGCACTGTAACTAATGAACTACGTAGTGCGTTCAAAAAGTACCCGGACTGATTTGATTTTACAGAAAACGAAAAGCATTGTCATGCAGGGCTTGTTACCTCTTTGTAGTTCATACGGTCCTTAATCTATAGACATTACAAATTCTGACAGATTAGACATTTGTGTGTTATCATAACAATTTTTTTAGATCACATTGTAGCGAGTGGTCTGGATTAAGTCAGAGATGGGCAAGTCTAAGTGATGACTGAGACTGAGTCACGCCTGATGTTTTTTTTTTTCGAGACTGAGACTCGACTGAGACTGTTGAATTTCTATACCGTGACTGATTGTGGAAAATACCACTGATTTTTTTTAAAATAGAAAGTGAGAACAACAGACTTCACTGAGACTGATGATTTTCAAAAAATAAATGACTGAGACTTGGAACATGACTGCACGATTGTGGAATAACTGAGATATTGGAAGAAAGAGAGTCATTGAACATTTTGCATTAGGATTTAATAAGCATATCATTTTGTTTCAAAGTATCCTGATCCAAAATATTTAATTTTGGAAGAGCTATGCCGATTTACATAACGGTACGAAACTGCTAATGTTCAATGACTTTCTTACTTTCAATAATCTGCCGATGGCGAAAAGATCAAATCTTCCTTATTTTCCATTTAATTTAACACAGTCACCTATTGTATCCTAAAACTCAGTTTGGACGAAATCTGTCTGATACTATAAGAAAGATCACACTTAATAGCATCAGAAAACTTATTGTGAATCGTCTTACTATCTGCTCAAGCGGTTTAGAAATAACTCCAATTCTCTGAAAAATACGTCACTGAATTGACATTTCAGGCCTGTTCACTATTATTAGTATAGCGTTCCACTTTCACTTTTTGTAAGAAAACATTCAATGTGATTTTTACAGAGAATTTCGAGGCACATGTTTTGCAAAAAGGACTGGTTCTTGCAAATGAAAGCAAAACACGTTATGAACAAAATGTTAAGCGTGCTATTTAATCCGAACCACTCGCTACAATGTGATCTAAAAAAATTGTTATGATAACACACAAATGTCTAATCTGTCAGAATTTGTAATGTCTATAGATTAAGGACCGTATGAACCACAAAGAGGTATCAAGCCCTGCATTACAATGCTTGTCGTTTTCTGTAAAATCAAATCAGTCCGGGTTTTTGAACGCACTACGTAGTTCATTCGTAAACCAAGGTTTGTCATGTTTATTAATAGTAATAATTGTATGAGTAATAATTATCGCTGCCGCGATTAAAACCGCATCTAAAACAGCGTCAACTACTGCCAATACACTTGGTTGCGATATGATAATATAAATTGTAGTAAGACTTTTGTAAAGAGAAAAATGCAAGTAATTCTAATCTGTAGTTATATATAGCAAACATCCTACACTTTCCTGGTGTAAACGGTCTTTACAGAAGAATTTATATTTGTATGCGAAGATCTGTATCATGGGTCGAGGGTTTTAACCATCACTAGGTGTGGCTCAAGACAATAATCTTGACTTCAGGACTTTGACACTCTAAATTAGTTGACTCAAGATCTTGACTCAACATCATTGACATGTACGATTTCCCAAGATCTTGACGGGAGCTTGGCATTTTTGAAAAAAAATGTTTTCATTAGCGCCATCTTGTTCATCATTGTTTTGATTAAAAGGAAAATTGGCTGTATTTAGTGCCAGAAAACGATTTTTGGCGGCTTTTACAGTGACTACAGCGTTCTAAAAGTTTTTCAAGAAAAACAAACAGTTCTATATTCAAACGAGACTACCGCTCTTGCGCGTTGAGTTTTCATTCAAGAATAACACTAAAGACAACGCATGTCCCTAACGAATTTCCGAACACAAGTAGCCCTTACAATCTTTTAATCCTACAATAGCCGGGCAATTTTTTGAACAGCACAACTGAGGCAGTGTCACACTGCAAACTAAACTATCTAGGAAA